TAAAAATAATAATAATAACAACAACAAATTTTTAACAGTTCTACTTTTAACAATATTTCTATTGTCATTGTCGGTAAACGCATGCGAAAAAGCTTGTAGAGTTGGTATTTCATCATCGTTTTCAGACGCGTATAAGAAAGAGTTGAGGATTTTCTTTGACGAATTAGCTAGTGGCATCAACATTTATTTATTTGATAATGCTGATCCATCGACCTTTACAAATAATCCCGGCACTATCTCTGAGCAGTTTAAAACAGATATTAGATCAGCGATTGATTCAGAGGTTTCACATCTTTACGATAATTCAACTAGCACATTTCCGGATATGATTGAGGATGCAATTTTTGAACAAGAACCAAAATTTAAAGGTCAATGTCAACATCCATACAGAGTGGATCAACCACCAGATGGTGTTAGATGGAAAGATGAAGATTGTGTTAAAATGGATTATATTTGTGGTAATCCACATTCAATCTGCCATCATATGGATTCAATTGTCAAGCCAAGAAATATTTTGAATGTAAGAAATCTAATTGAAAGTGATTGTTTGACTGCTGGACCTTTTGAAAATGACTTGGTGGATACTGTTGTCAGTGCTTCAAGAGCTAAAGGTTTTTCAAGTACAAGTTCCCAAAAATTTGGTGAGGCCACAAGAAAAAACATCAGAGCTCAACTTCAAACTTTTGCTAAAGATGTTAAAACAAACTTTTGTTCAAACAATAATTGTGAACAATATGACACTCAAATTAAACATGAATTATTAGGTTATCCTTAAAACATTAAATTATAATTATTATTACTTGCATATGCATATCATATAACGATATTATTGTATATCGTATATACATACATCTATTTTTAGAGAGATAGAAGAAAAAAAATTGTATTTTAGATATTTTCATTGAACAAAAGAATTTTTTTTAATATTTTAATAATAATAATTAATAATCATAATAAAATTTTATTTGCATTTTCAAATTGTTTTTGTTGGTCATCCCCCGAATTGCAACCAAAAAAAAAGCTCTCATCATTTATTTTTAATTATATTATTATTATACACAATAAAACAAAATAATATACAAAATTCTAAATAAAACAAAAAAAAGTAAATAAAATAATTTAAAAAAATACCAAATAATATATTTATAATAAAAATAAATAAATAAATTAATTAATTAGCTAGCTATGTTCTTGAAATTGGAATTCATCTTCTACTTCAGCTAATCTATCATT